TTATATAATGATATTATATTATTGTTATTATTATCTGTTATTATTAACAGCTACTTTTCATCATTGGTTATTTGTGAGCTGAGGGATGAATATCCACTGCAGCTCTACAGGATGTGATATACAGCTAGCTTATGTTGACCTAACATTAAATTGATAGGTAGTTTTGTATTGAACTACAGATACAGCCAAGTATATTCAGTAGAACTCTTCACTCAAAAGCAAGCTTCAGTCTGTCAGTCTTACAAATTAAAGTAATTTTTTACTAATTTTAATTTTTTTTCTCCTACTTCATTTGCACTATTACCTTTTCTGAAGAACTAGTGACACAATAGCAATAAAAGCTTGGGCTACTGTAAGAGCTATGGAGTACTTGTGTAGTGTCCAGTTATTTAAAAAATAAAAATTTAAAAAATCCTGTTATAATGTGAACAGATGCAGCAATTGCTAACTGCTTCAAGACTGTACTTAATTTCTCCCTTCAGTAGATACTTCAATCACTCAGCAATTTAGAAATACACTGAGATATGACTAGAAATTCTGTGAGGCAATCAAACCATTTTTCATAAGATTCCTAATTACCTAAAGAGTTTAAAAGTTATTTAATAAACATACCCAAATTTAAAGAACATCCAAAGCTAAACACAGATATACAGATTCAAGGCTTCAAGTAAAGATGTTTTTTAGATATGCATTTCAAATATGGTACAGTAAATTTCATAATGGGATGGTTTAGAACCTTCACACTATAACTCAGGAACAGGTATTTCGTTGCAGGTATTTAAGAAATTATCACTTCTCATCGTTTTGTCTTTTCTGTACATGATGTACATTTCAGAAAACTGACAAAAAAAATATATTCTGGGTTGCAGATGCAATGAATTTTGACTGTGACTTTTGTCTGCCTTAGCTTTCTTTCTGTGTGAAGAGCTGTATAGATTCATTGATTCTAGTGACATGTGGCACTGGATTCTAGCTTAGGTCTGGAGTTCAAATACATTCATTTTAGTGTGCTCTAAATTATGGGAGCAGTGACTTTATTAACTGCCACAACATGATCTAAACTTAATTATTTCTGCCTCTTAGTTTTGTTCTGCTTTTGAAACAGAGTGTTTTACTTAAATACATGTCCTTAAACTTTAACAACCTCTTTGAAACTTAATGCTGTGTCTTGTTTTTATTTATGACAAAAAAGAGTTAGTAATGTCTTAAATCCCAGAAGTAATGCTGTTTCTGGCTGAGTGCTTTTTGGTTATTTGTTAATATACTGTTGTGGTGGTGTTTTTTTCTTTTTTTTTTTTTTTTCTTTTAAGGAAAGGTGCTCAGTGTCTTCAATTGTAAATTGCTATAGTTGACTTTTCACACATTCTTTCTTAACTTAATGTTAAGTGTATATTCCCAGAAATCAGATACATAAATCTGTTTTCCCTGTGTCATCATCAGATGCACATAAATACTGTGTGGACCTATCTATTGATGATTTTTCAAGCAAATATGTTTTGTCCGCACTGTTCCAACTTCATATTTTCAAGGTCTAATGTTCTTCTACCAAAGCAAACAAACAAAAGCAAACAGTAACACACGCACACACACACACGTACGCACACACACACACACACACAAAATTGAAGCATAATTTTAACATTGTCTTTTATTAAGGTAGATAAAGATTTTAGCAAACACATCTGTATGACTTGTCAGAAAGTGTGGCTAGGAGCATGTAATTGCTTCCATTTTTTTTCAAATTTTTTCAGGTCTATGAAAAGATTTCTTACATGTTTGCAATTTAACACCCACTCAGTGGCTTGTGTGAAAGTGCTGTAGTTTGCAAAGCAATGTAATGAGCAGCTGGTGAGGATGGCTTTTCCAGCTTCAAGGGAGTCTGTGCAGAGTTTTAATGACTTCCATGCTACTGTCAAGCTGTCATGGAGGCTTTAAATGAAGGCTTTAAAGCATGTTTGGTGGGTTTGTTGGTAGTTGTGCTTAGAATGTTCTGGAACATCTAGCTTTTTCTGCTAATACAGAGACACAAAAGGTGAAATCCAACTAAGTCTATTTTGCTACAGACAATAATTACAAATGAGAGACCTAAGGCAAACTGCCAGTATTCCAGGAGTGGCACAACAGCTAACTTAAGACCAAATTTTTATCTAAAACAATGACTGAGATGTTCAAGAGCCTTATAAGTTCTGTAGGACTCAGCCTTTCCAAGCTTTAGTGTGTTGTGGATGATATAGGACCAGTCTTCCACTCAAGATGTTTTTATACTTTATCACTAATAGGAATTTTCAAGACTTGCTGAAGCTTAGACACTCAATGTGATCTTTTTGCTGAAATGGTGACTACTAGCAGCTCCAGCTGAAGAGAAAGCTGCTGTTCATTGATTGTTAAAAGTGCTATACAGAGAAATTTAAATAATTAGATTATTCAAATAGGAAAATGGAAAATTAGCCAAGCAATACATGGAGTTTTTGACATTGTTTCACCATCAAATCTGTAAAATCTGATATTTTTCACCTTGAAAGAATAAAGTACCTCTGTTTTGCAAAAACACCAGAATGTATGTCACGTATGAGCCTTCAGAGCAGTGAGAAGTTTGTTGAAATCAAATTTAGGGTTGTAGATCTCACAATCTGTTATCCATAAGATTCTGAGAAAAAAAATAACATTTGATTATACGATTGTTTTGTTTAGTGCTTCCTATTTTTAAATGCTTTGTTTTGCAACACTGCTGGTGTTGATTCTATACGTGGCTTACATATAGTATGCACGTTTTTACTTTTAACATGTCTAATTCAGCTGTATATTATTGTGTAAATTTTCATAGAAGTGGATAAACCACAGAAGGAATAAACCAGAGATCCTAAAATTTGAGCCACTCTTAGATAGCCTTCTACTATTAGTATTACATAGAAAATATATGGAACTGAGTCCAACATAAGAGAAAATGTATGGAACTAAAGTTTCATATTTCAGAGAGGTCCAAGCATGGAGACCATTGAGCAATCACTGAATCTTTAATACTCATCTCACTCACTTCTAGTCTTTGCATTTCAATAGTTATTCTGATCTAAGTTTGCTGCTACTTTTCTGATACTGTGTTGATTTCCCCTGTTCTGTAACATTTGACCTGCGATTCTGAATCACATGCTATGTCAATTTGATTCTCAGTGTTTCAGCTGCTGATTAAGAGACTTCTGGCAATGTGTTCATTATATTGTCATCAATAATCTTGTCAATTTATTGAGTCCAGCTGTGCTTTCTAGTCTGAGGTAATTTCTCAGAAACAATTATCTACCATGTAGAACATTAATATCTGATTTGATTTAATGTACTAAATCTTCCATGTAAATAAATTTTCTGTTAATAACAAATTAAGTTCCCGTAAAGCTGCTTAAGCTTTTACCACAGCCATACACTGAAAATACGTAAATCTGAGATATTGAAAAAGAACTTATCATATTAATCAGAAATTCTGTTCTAAAGTACATTGAACATCAAGCCATGGACCTCTGCAATAGTAAATTTTCATCCTAAAAAGCAATGTTAGCTCTTTTCACCATGTGCAATGATGAGGCATTATATCAATATTTAGTTACTGTACACCTGTGCCCCTGAGTGCAGAAGCATATGCAGTATGTGTCTTCAGCTTTAGAAGCCTGTTAGCTTGTTAGTTTTCCTGGTAATTTGGGTAAAGTGAGTGCACAAAAAGAAGCAATCCTTACTACATAAGTCTTGATTATTTAAGAAGCCTTCTTTAACTGCCAGCATCTAAAACCAAAGAGGAAAGTAACCATTCCCAATACTACTCTTTTTGGAGGGCCATATGGATTAAAAGGATTTTAGGAAATAGATCTTAGCATGGAAAACAAATAACACACTAGCCTTAGTATACTGTGTGGTACAATCATTCAAAAAAAAATTATTTTTTCACTGAGAGTGAAAATATGTTTTTAAGTTGACTTAACATACATCAGCAGAAAAATAACATGAATGTAATAGTGAGTGTGATTATATAAAACACCTAAAATTGTTTTAAACAAATTTACAGTGGTTTAAAGTATGTGTAGTTATACTGATGAAAAGAAAATGCATTTATATAGTACAGGAAGCCATTTTTCCTGCTGTTGAAAAGTTAGCTGTAATGTTTAAGTACTCTTTGAATACCTGATGCTGAGTTAAGGATGCACTATTTTGAGTATTTTATATTGACTTTTTTTTTCCCCCAAAAGCAGAACTTTCATGTATGACTTATTCCCATTGTTTATAATTTTTAACATACTTTGTTTGTAACATGCAAGACTGTTCTTTTTTATGGGCTTTGATTATGGTACCTACTATTTGGAGGAACAGGATGGAACGGTTTCCACAGGCTGTTGTTGGTTTGGTGGGTTTACTATCTTAGTGCAGTAAGTGTGTATACTTAAGTCTGACTGTAACATGGGAATTGATGTCATAGATGTTAGATGAATGAGAGCTACATGTAGCATCTTATGAAAAGACTGGAGAAACCTGTAGCTTTTTCAGTCCTTCACCAATATTGAAGTCAGTCCAAAGTAACAGTTAAATAAATACATTCATGCGTATATGGACAGTTGTCACGTTTGTTCTCTTAACTCAAAAAGGAAAAAAAAAAAAAAGAGAGAGAAATAAACGAATAAGAGGCTGTATTTGAGAATTAGCATCTTTAACTCAGCATCAGGCATTCAAAGCATACTTAAACATTAGCTAATTAGCATGGTGAAACAAAAATACTAAGGTCACAGTAAAAATGCAGACAGGAAGAGCTCAGCTTTAGTTATGTTTTTTACAAACCGTTGGGAAATAAAGCTGATAATGGCTGTAGTGTATCTAATTATGAGTTGTATAACGCTTTTGTGAAATTGTACCATCACATATAGAAAATACACTGTCAAAATTGCTACTGATATGGTGAACTAAACAACACGTTTCTGAAATATTAAATCCATTTCAGTTGCATGCTTTTTCTTTTATATGTTTAGTGACAAACAAGAAACCAGCTCAAGCTTCTATTACGAAGGTCAAGCAATTTGAAGGCTCTACATCTTTTGTCAGGAGAACGCAGTGGATGCTCGAGCAGCTACGCCAGGTCAATGGTATAGATCCTAACCGGGTAAGTCTGAACGGTTATGGCAAATGAAAACTGAACTTTTAACACCTGATTCACAAATCAGTTACATCTTTCATTATTCAAATGGCAGATGGAATGATGAGATACAGGATTAAATGCAAATTCTCAAAAAAGAAATAACTTAGTATGGTATGTGAAATAGATTTTAATGGGAAAGATGGGAGGAGGCCAAAGCTCATAATCAGGTATTTTCTTCTTTCCTTCCTGTCTTCCCCTACTCTTCCTCCTGTTCACTCTCTTCTTTGTAAAGAAAAATAAGAGCTGTGTTTGTCTTGTCTTCAGCTATAAGCCTCTCGGGTTCCATTTTGGCATTCAGCTCTGTTGTAAGAGAAGTAAGCAGAAGCAAAGACATGAGAGGTTACTGAGGTTCAAGTGCATGGAAATATTTTGAATCTTGCTTTTTTTTCTAGGACAGTCCTCTCCTCAGATTCTTCTGCAGTTTTTATCATTCTGTACAAAGGGCTGTGATGTAGTTTATTTGCTAGTTTAAATTTAAAGCAATTTTTTCTTTTTGATTTAAAACAAAAATTAAAGCAAACAAAACCCCACAAAGTGTTTTGGAACTCCTTCCAGAATTTTTGCCTCATACATATTTTTTTAATGTGGAATATACAGAGTGCCTTGAGCTGTCTTGACAAAGCCACACAAATATGTAATAAGCTTACGAATACAAATCAGAAAATGATCACAAAGCAACTTAACTGTGTTCGTTGTACAGCAGAATGTTTGTAGATAACTCCATTGGTTTGCTCAGGGCTGTACTCTGATCAGCTGCCTAAATCTTAGCGGCTTAGTGGTTTTTCAGTATAGTCTTGTTAACAAAAATGAAGCCTTTGGAGTTTTGTGGAATTTTCTTTGAGTAAAGGAGCACTGAAAATGAAAGCAATGATAATGCAGATATGGGATATGAGTTTTAGGCCCTTTCCCATCAACTGTTAAGCAACTCTCTAAATAGCAGCTTGAGGTACTTTCACATTGAAAGTCCTATCAAATTCTTCAACTTATACACATTCCTTTAGGACTTGTTTTCCTGTGATTCCTAGTGCCACTGACTCAAAATAGTTTTTTGTATTAGTTTACGAAATGAATTCTAGCAAATATCACTAAATGTATAGCAGCAGTACTCTTACAGAATCCATTTACTTTTGTTGTTGATGCATGGTACGGAGGTGGGGTATTATTTTATTCTGGCACTGCTCTTTTGTTCTTGTTATCCTGAGATCTATACAACAGTTTATGGTAATAAGTTAAATACAATAACTGCAACTTGCTATTTATTTTCCTTTTTTGGGTGAATATAAAGAGCAGAACCACATCTTCTATAATACATTGCGAGAGCAATTTTGAGACTGAGAGGCTGAACACATTAAAATAAAAATGCCTATGTTAATACAGAAGAAACATAGTAACTATATAGCTGTAGCTAAAAATGATTTCTTATGAGATTCCAACTTCTAATTCCTTGGTCTAAAACCCATTATTTTCAGGTATTTTTTTCATAGCTGAATATTCCTCACTAAAAGAAAAAAATATCTGTGAGAAAAATATCCTGCCTGTGTTTTCATCCAAAAATGTGCAAAAGAACAATAATCGCAGGATGGTCTTTAGTTGCATGATCTTTGTCTTTTTTTCCTACATAACTGCTTTTTAAACAATGGCAGTTCTACATCTTTTTCCAAATCATTAATAAAACCGAAGTAGTAGTAATGTATTTTTTTTTCTTCTAGGATTCCCCAGAATTTGATTTACTATTTGAAAATGCTTTTGACCAGTGGGTAGCAAGCACAGCTTCAGAAAAATGCACATTCTTTCAGGTTCTTCATCACACTTGTCAGCGATACCTGACAGACAAGAAACCAGAATTTATCAACTGCCAATCTAAAATTATGGGAGGTAAGTCAGTTGAAGCTGGAGCACTTACAATTGAAGCTGGAGTACACAACCATGCAGTTGGACATGAAATGATTTTCACCTGAGTTATTTTATGTTCAAATGAGCTTGGTACCTATCTACATCTTGAAATCATGGGTCTGAATACGCTGATTTCACGGTGGTGAAATACAGGCTTCACAGTTTCTCCATCAAGCACCACTTCAAATTCTTACAATATTTTTTTCTTATGTTTAGTTCTAGAGGTAATATCCCCTATCTGCCTTGTGAGGAGTCATTTTTCTCCCCCTCTTAGTAGCATTCAATTTGTTTCCAAAAATATTTCTGGGCTGCCTGGAATATTTCCCACACAAATCTGTTCTACAGGGTCATTTCCTAACAAGTGTTCCCAAAAGTGTTTATTACCAAATTCCTGTAGGTTTTTTGAAATTTACTCTGATCTTGACAGAAATCAGTTAAGTTTTATTTTCATAATTTGTTTATCCTAAGGTATCCATCTGATGTCTATCCAGTATTAGACATCACGTTTAAAAAGAAAGAAATAAAGGGAGAGGGCAGACGCAGGGGGACACCATCTGGTCGATATATAGAATTGTTGTTTACCATCTGCTTCATGAACCACAAACACTGCTTTGGGGGAGGATTTTTCACTTATTTCACAAAATATTCTTTGGGAAAATAAACCTTACGGAAGATAGGTTACTTTATTTCTAAAAATAGTCACCTTTTTATCTGCTCTAAACCAGAACACTTCTAAAACCTTTTATGCCGTCTCTGTTCCACTCAGCTGGAATAAAAAGTTACTTTTGCTTTTTCAGTGAGTTTTGTAACATTTGATATCTCTAAACTGTCAGAGATGCACAGGCTGGCTTGGGGTTTGGTTTGTTTGTTTTCCCCCAAGATATCAAATACAGATGCTGCCAGCCTTACTCAAATCTTTCTGGTAGTTCTATCTTATAAAACTAGTATCTATTCCAGTACACCATCAGAAGTACATTTTGTGCACCCACCTTTGCTTTTACAGCAAAATTTTGCTGTAACTTTGTCTTCCATCCCTTTCTTCTAAAATACCAATGGTAAAACCTGGAGAAGGGGGGATCATCTCCAGTTTGGCGCATACGTTTTAGGTAGTGACACTGAGGTTACCACCAACTTTGCAGTCAGAGCTGTTCTGTCAATCATATTTTGCTTTTAGTGTCTTCTAAAACTAAGATAAAAGGCACAAAATTTTCTTCTAAATGTCCTTTTTTTTTCCTTCCTGTTCCATTAATCTTCTTTCCATCATCTTCAAAAGCTTTTGGATTACATTATATTTAAAACCTCAAAATGTATTTATCTTACAGAGGCATGCTTCCTGTGCTGAGTAAAAATAGACAAATAACTGTCATTGCAACTTTGAAATATCTCCAGTTAAAGGCAGCCCTCCATGATACATAGTGCCATGAAGTTAGTTTGGTTTACTAGTTTATTCTAGTTGGTCAATTACTTTGAGGCAAACAGAGAAATTCAGTGACCAGAAATAACACTATTCATTGACTTTAGAAGCTCTTCTGTTAGTTAGTAGTTCACTGGTTCAGACGCTCAGCATCTGCAGTTCTGCTAGTTCTCCTAGTAAGCCCAGAGATGGGCCAACAACACACCAAAATGCAGTTAGTCTGAAACCTGCAGTATCAGAGATGTGCATGAAAAATACAGGGAAGTATGTAACAGATTTCAAATTCATCCTCACTGGAGAAAACAGGGCATCAGTATAGCCAAGCAAGCCAAACAATGTATACCTGAGGATATATCTTGAATTACATTACAATCAGTTTAGAATTTGCAACTCTTCCCCTCCATTTTCCCCTGGTAATTAACCAAAGCAATAGATTCAAATCATTCTGAAACCTTAGCACTGTCAGATTATGGAGGAAGCTTGTCACTTTGTGCCCTTTATGTTTTAAAGTAGCCTTTGTTTTAAGTGATATTCTTTTGACTTTTCTGGGGGATATGCACAGTAATTTCCTCTTGGATGGTTTAACTTCTAATACCAAACCAGTATGTTTTAAATAAATTATTACAATATATGCTTACGTAATGTTCTAGATATGCACATCAAAGATGTAACTGTAACTATACATATTCTCTTAAAAAAAAAAAAAAAGACCTAACTTCTTCCCAACCGGAACTGAAGATGAATGAACTTGAAGGGTTTGTTTACAAGCATATTAATTGAGCCTTAGTCCTTCCTAAGGGATGCAAGTGAAGAAAGTGAAATTCATATTGTTTCTGCAGAAAGTGCTTAAGAGCTTATCCTTAAGTGAATAGGTGTCATCCTGTGGAACTGGAGACCCTCTTCATTGACTTCCTGAATTTACTACACGCACACACGTGCACACACACACACTTCCTCCTACTGGCCTGATTCTTCTTTTCCAGAACTATTTTTTGTGTTGAGTATGGTGTAAGGGTGTAGTCTGTGGAGTTACATAGTCTACGCTGTTTTCTGTAACTTGCTTAATGACATTAATTATAGTGATAATGAGAACTGATTGAAAGGAGTGGGTGCTAATTCTCAGAACAAAGAACAAATTAAAATTTGCAAAGACTGTAATGAGATTCTTCCCAGTATTGTCTTGTATGAAATAGTTTATTTTTTGTTTGGAAGAGGCCTCTCTATTGCTTACATGTGATTTCTAGATGTTGCTTTGGGAAGTGGAAGACAGGCATTTGGAAAGAGGTTTTTTTGATTCAAGTAGGAAATACTTTCTCCTTCCAGGTCTTTCTGATGTATTGGCTCCAATACTGGCATATGTCTAATCTGAGGCATTGTTGTGTTATGTTAATTAAGTAACCAAGCTAATCATTTTTTTTTATTTAAACACATCACTGATGTTAAAAAAAAAAAAAAAAAAAGAGAAAGTTTGAGGTGAGCAGTGAGCTGAATATTTTTATTCACAGATTATGATCATTATAAAAACTTAATTGTTGACCTAATATTAGGCTGATACTAAGAATGCATTTGGTCTTTATATTTCTGGGTAGAACCCCGTAGACACAGTGTTTGAAACCTCAGATTCTGTGCCAGTAACAATTAGCAGTTGCTGCCACCTTTAGACACACATCAGAAGTGCAGAATCCTTGGAAAGACAGGTTGAAGGAAGATAATGTTCCAGTATTATTTTGTTTGTTTGTTTGTTTGTTTGCTTGTCCTACAAGCTTTGGTCACCCTGTCAAATAAATTAAAATATTCTTAGAAGTTCAAAGTAGTGATATCTTTGCCTCTAACCTTTCCTCTAGGACAGCTGGCAAGAGTTACTAATGGATCATTTTTTCTCTTCTCCAAAAATATATTGCCAGTGTGAGAATAGTAATGAGTTTCTTTTTTCGTAAGCTATTGATGCATCTTAGCTTCAGCAATCTAGGAATAGGGCTTTATGATGTTTTCATTAATTCTTTGGACTTATTTGAAGATGAAATTTCTACATGAAAAAGCCAGTTTGCATTCAGTTTTAGAATGCAGAGCTATACTATTTTAGAAAGTAGGCCACTGGGTCTTATTTCCAAATAAAAACAAGGACAAACAGTTATTGCAAGGCTGTATTTTGGAAAGCAGATTTCACAGAGGTTTTAAAGTTTGCTAGTAACTACAAGCTTTAAAGCAAAATATTTTTGTTCATGTTGTCTGAAAACCTTCTGTATGTTGAAAGAGATGTTCATGTGGTGGATGATATGTGGTAGAATACCACGTTTGGGACCTGGTAAACATATAGTAGTTTTTACCATACTGCGCAAGTTTAATGAATAACTAAATGAGACAAATGGAATTAGGATGGGAAGAAAGACTATTGCTCCCCCGCCCCCCCCCCCCCCCCGGCCTCATTCCTTTTAAAATGGATGATTTTTCTTTTAGAAGAAAAAGTATCCGATACTTTTTTTCCACCTCTTACCTGATATAGTCATAGAAGAAATGTGTGCTTGAGCATATTACCCTTACAGACTTCTACTTGTAAATTAATTCTGATGCAGGTGACTTTGACAGATCTAAACCAAAAAAAAAAAAAAAAAAAAAAAAATCTATCACTTCATTTTGGCAGCATATTAGTATTTTCAAATTACTGACCTGATTAATCTTAGCAATGTTTCTTTATGGGAACTGCAAAATTCTTTGCATTGCGTTAAGATATTTTTTGCCAAGAAAATAAAGGTCAATGTCAGTCTAGAGACTGAAATATTATAAATTATTTTCTTTTTACTGTCAGAGACCACTTCAGGCACTTTTTTTTTTTTTTTTTTCTTATAAAATTATCTGCTTATATAAAAACTTCTAAAAGATTAGCTATCCACAGATACGAATATAATAATTTTAATAATATGCAAACTTTGGAAGTAATCTATTATGCTCTTGTTCTTCTGATCATCAAGAAAAGTAGTAATTATTGAGCCCTCATTGTGTGTAGTTATCACAGTTCTCCTATTGCAATACTACATATCTTTGAGAAGGTGGTAATGCATACTGGTAGATACACAAGTAGACAGACCACAAGTCTGATCCACTCTGACAATTATATTTACTTACTTGCTGTTTTTCTCTCCTTTATAAATCAAATACAGTTGATTTATAATGCAGTGCTACTGAACTGCTATATTTTATCTGTAATATGTTCCAGCACCTTTGAGCCATAACCTTGTTTGTATTTTGTTTTGTTGTGTGTCTGTGCCTCTGTTGTGATTTTTTTTTTTCCCTAGGAAATTACTGCATTTAAACTGAATGTGTTGTTTATTGTGGCTTGACAGTTACTGTACTGTTGGTTTGGTTGTTGTGAGGTTTTTTTGTTTGTTTTTTGGCATGAATTCTGCTTGAAAAAATGCTTGCGTGTGAAAGAAAGTGAACAGTCTGTAAAATCAAATTGACAGAGAAATCAGTTTCTGAATGTCAGTCATGTTAGCAATCTGATTCCAGGACGAAGTAGTGTCACAGCTCCATCTATGACAACAATAAGCTTGTGTGGTTCCACTGTTGC